AGGCTAGCAGCTGTACTGCACTGGCTAAATTGCTCATCTACGTCTGAGACACCAGACGCCCATTTGGGCTGACTAAATTCCGGCTGTATAAACATACGCACAACACAATTATTATTATGTATTCGCTACTTTCAGCGATGATGGTACCGCGGTGTGAGAACCGGGCTCCCTAGCTCGTACATGAACGGCTTCACAATAAAGGTGCTTACGTACACCTTCCTGACGTGAGAAAACAAAATGAGGCATCGCAGACCCAGCCTCGTACAGTTCTACGACGATCATCCAGGTGACAGCCGTTTGGATAGGCACCAGTGCGCCCCGTATAGGTGGCGAAAGTTGCGCATAGCGATAACGAAGGATACGGCGTGAACTGTGCCAACACCTCCTCGATAGCTTCCAAGCCTGCGCGTCACGTGACATGACGTCATGTCCAGGAGGCCTGCGCGGGTGCTTAGTGGATGCGAGTGCCGCGTCAGCGTTCTTCGTGGGACTCGTTTCCTATCATAGCCCCGCGCGAACGCTGACGCGGCACTCGAGCCCTATCAGCGCCCATGCAGGCCTCCGGGACGTGACGTCATGCCACGTGACGCGCAGGCTTGAAAGCTATCTAAGAAAAGCGTGTTTTTTTGTTTTTTTTAAGCTTTACATATTTGTTTTAAAAGAGCAGTGAAATCCATCGTGGTGAAATCTACACCTATGCGGTTTGTGCGGGTGAGTTATATGGCCAGGGGGACAGAGTATAGGGGCTAATCATAACGATCAGTCTGCTTATTAAGTGAAATGTGTTAATTAACCTTTTGTATTTTTTTACGGCGTTTTGTAAAAACGATCAGCTCGGACGCCGTTTAGGCTTCGCGCCCCGACCGCCAGGGAGCAGGACCACGGCCACGAAGATGCGGTCCGATAAGAAACCGAAACCTAGAAACGCGTCCAAACTGACCGTTTCTTCCAGAACGCCGTAATACCCCCCGCTGATCCTCCTTATATCTTTCTAAAAAAAAAAACCCAAAAAAACACACAGATTATTTTGTGTTTTTTGATGACCCTCAGCAAGTCGGTAATTGGATCCATATGTCTATTCTCACCAATTAAAAAGTTAAGAAACAAATTTTACTTAAATAGCCGACTGATCGCTACGATTAGCCCCCTGTACTATATCCCCCTGGCCGTATGACACACCCGCACTAACCGCATATGTGTTACTTTCACGGCTTCTTTTTTTTAAAGTAAAGCTTACAAAATATATCCTGTATACAGATGTCAGCCAACGGCAGTATAGATGCAATCTGGCTCATTTCACAGTATCTTTCTGCTCGGCAGCCATCTTGAAAGGTCAAGGTCCGAGAAGCCTAAGTAACTACCCATTTGACTCGAGAAAGGCGTGAAAGGCATAATGGCGTGATTTTTAATATGCCTTTAGTTTACACCAGCGCCCGCGCCACCCAAACACTCCTCTGAAGCCAAATAAACCGGCGCCTTTCAAAACGTTACAGAGAATCTGCGGGATGAAGTGAGCTTCAGATAGACAACGGACAATGGCTCTCTTCAGCTCGCAAGGCGTCTGCTTTCGCCCCGCGGGCCTACGGAGGTGTATGACCTTTTACGCCCGAACGCCCACCTGTACATACATAGTGGCGCTGGTATCGCTCGCGTGGAGACAAACAGTAGATATATATATAGTGAGTGAACACTGTACGCATACGTATTGACAGCATCGCGGGATGGCTGGCGCACACGCTGACGTATACGGCCACATGGAGTGTCTTCCGCGATTCACTCGTTCATCATCGTGGATAACAAAGGGGATGGTTGCAGGCACGTTTTCACTCAGAACAGAACGTATACACAGACATACACACACGTGCCCGCAGGCGTTAACGCGAGCAAACACACACAAACACATGTGCACGCGACTTAGCGTTACGTTTCGGAAATCGGGCGAGTTCGTAGACGACTAGTCTATACACCATTCCGTCGCTTATCGCGCAGGCGAGAACTGCCAAGTCACTGGGCGAGTAAGGGCTATTACGCGTGCTAGAACGCGTTCCAATGCAGTCCACATAGACGAAGAGGGCAGCGTGCAGAAGGCAACTATTGGAGTGGTTTCTAGACGTCAACGCACTGTCCACAAAGAAATACTCGCTTTGCTATACACCAGGTCTGGGCGGTGCGCGGAAAACCAAATGCGCGCGAGATGAGCCGTCTGCGCATGCGCAGTGCCGACAGCAGCGGCACCGCAGTGTGGCGTGACGCGGGCGCCGCCATCTTGAATCCCGGAACTTCCGGTATGCGGGAAACCATCGTTTTGTTCTCAACACACCGTCTGGGAGAAGCTCACGTTTTCATCGCGATTGCCTTTCGTTCTTGCTATCCTTTTTCTAGTACTTGTTCAAGGTCGTAATGCCTTGTTTGTTTGTTTTTTATTTCGCATATCGGAATGGTCAACTACGTGGCTGGACACGAGGGTAACTGGAAAAGGTCTTTAGTCGCATGGGGCATGGCTTATTACGTTCACGCTTAACTTGCCTCGTGATTCGATCTGAGGCGTTTCTTACCTGCTAATGCTGCAGCCTCATTGGCTCCGGAGGCAACCGATGCTCGGAAATCGCCAGCCCCCCCCCCCCCTGCATTTCTTAGTCTGCGAGTTAATGAATACATTGTGTCCAGACACATTTCCCTATTTCCCTTCTTTCGTTTTTCTTTTTTCTTTCTTTTTCAACCGCAATATTGAAACCTGTTTTGCCGAACGCTCGTTCTACGCCCAATACCGTCAACCGGATGACAAAGCTTCAGCACTAACCGTCATTTTATTCAAAAGGTTTCGAGTGACTTTCTGCAAATTTCAGCCGGAAAATGGCGGCCGCCGGCAGAGTTACATATGGCGCCAGTTACCGACAGCGGGTGAAAATGAGCCCCATGTTTCCTGTCAAAATTTTCAGGAAAACACATATAACTTCTGAATAAGTTCGTGCTGAAACTTTGCCACCTGGTTCAAAACACTAGCGCTATATTTGGGAGGAAAATGAGACTTAAGCGATACGTAGTTCATTTTTGCAACTAAAAAATAAATAAAAAAAATACGTTGTAAGTGTTGTTTATTGCTGTTTTGTGTGTATGTGTGTTTGGGGGGGGGGGGGGGGACACGCTGTACATGTACACTGCCAAAATATTTACAATGAAACTAAAGAGAGAGAGAGAGAGAGGGAGAGCAAGTGAGAGATAAAATGTACGTTGTTAAACACAAAACGAGTTTGTAACAGCGCTGCACACGATCAAAATGAGGCGGGCGAAGAAATCACGGCTCCGTAGCAGACGAAACACCCCAACTAAGTGATCGGCTGCAGATGGGCTTAATTCGCACGTGCGCCAGCGACACAACCTGTGGTGGAGGTTCGGGCGTGACCCAGCGAGTTTCACACACTCGCCAGTGCCGCCACCGCGAAGCGAACATCGTGCGATTGAGATGCTAAATAACCAAACGTTGGAAAAGAAACAGAACACAAAGAAATGGTTATGGCGCGTGGCCGGGCGTGACGAAAAACGTGGATGGCGCCTTCCTTGAAGCGACGCCTTTGTTCTTTCTATTTCTCAGTTTTCTGTTTGTTTTGTTTTTCCTCGCAAGTTTTCCTCTCCCAGCACACGTGCGAACGTCCATCGATACTTCCGGTTTAGTCTCCGTCGACGGGGATGAAGCGAACGCTCGTTCCCCTTTAAAACATGCGTCCGACAAATCGCTTCCAACATTTTTGCTCCGACGACGACGTTCAGGGGTGCTATGTTGCGCTTTTTGCACTCCCAAGAGACTTGGAAGAAGGAGGTGACGTCAGCAACGCAGCAAATGCAGATTGGATGTTGGTTTTGTTTTCTTCTGTCAACATCCAATCCGCGTTTGCTCTAGTCGTTGACGTCACTTCCTTCTTCCAAGTCTCCTGGGAGTGCAAAAAGCGCAACATAGCACCCCTGACCTGTAACTTTTGCGTCTCAATTGCACGACACGTATTGAGGTCGACGGCCCGACGGTAATCCTCTTGAACAGTATGCTGATTGTTGGGGGTGTAGTTTGTGGCGATTATTAGAATACCTGGAAGAGCTGGAAGATAACGACAAAAAGGAGGTTGAAGCTGGACACCACTGTGCCGCGTTATCTTGAAAATACCCGAAGAGAACAGATATCGTAAATCAGCTTAAAGCCGCGGTAACATTACTGCTGATACACCATCCTAAAGACACAACGTTTCTTTCTTGTATGACGGCCATGTAAAAAGGTCACATAAACACTGTCTGCGGAGAACTTCTAAGCATACATATGCATGCGGCAAACATGCTTTGTACTCGCTCGATACGTGCCTGCAGATAATACTGTCATCATGTATGTGCAGTATGGCTGCAACTTGGGGGACGATGCTCGCGAACAGCATACAAATATGGAGGGGTGGTGGCGCCCATCGCAAGTAGTTTTTTTTTTTCCCGCGTCCCTTCTGCTGCTGCTGCTGATGATGATTTATGTAAAACCTCGCGTTTCCACGAAACAAGATAGGACTGGTTGTCTCACACAGCACATTCATTCTGTTGCATGCGTAGTATACCGTAGCATCCTATTGTACTGAATTCACACAGATAAGAAAGATACAAAAGAAGATAAACTTCTGGCGAACCACCTTGTCATTGTTGCTTACGCCCATAATTCGTGCCAACAAAAAAGAATTCTAAAAATAAAAATTAGTTCTAAAGAATTTTGAAT